GCGCCTGATCTGACATGCCCTCTGTAGTAACGACACCGTTGCCCGCATAAAAAAAAAGCAAGAAGAGCGTCGCCGAGGGCCACTCTATGCGTGCACAGTGAAACCATGTACGCACGCACAACATCGAAAACGAAGAGCAAACAACACGGATACAACGGTAAGCTACTTGGTAAACCGCCCTCCATATCCAGTGCGACCCCACATATGTGACGCTAACTCAAAGCGGGAGGTGTGCAGCAGTGGTGACTCTGCCAATCCAAAAGTATTCTTTTTTGTTGTTGTTGTTTGGAGGGGGAAGGCACATCTGCACATTTGTCCACGGCTGCAAAAACGGCGGCTCGTGGGGAGAAGGCCCGCCTGCCCGCCTTGGACATACCTGTTCACAATAACGAGCACTTGCTCTCACCTGCAAGTTGCCGGGACTACGAGTGCGCCGCCGATTCGCACTTCGTCGGCAGCGGTGCAACTGCGGAAGATGTATGCCCGTGTCAAAATGACTAAATCTAGGCCAAAATTCTTAGATTGTCCCTGGCAAAAATTTGTTATATCGAGGCTATCTCCCACTGTTACTTTGTTACATAGAGATCAAAAATACATGTACTTCTATAGAGTAACAACAGCAAATAGAAAAACTTCGCTATATCGAGGAATTCGTTATATGGAGGTAGGTTATAGGCAGGTATAACTGGATATGGCGAATCGTGCATGCCCCACAACATGATATCGTAAAAAGCAATAGTAGCCCAGAGGAATATGACATCATACCAGTAACAACAGGGAAGTAATGAAAGCCCTAAAGGAAATGCAAAGCTACTGCTGAAGATGACAACAGACCTGTTGAAAGATGGAGAGATCGTGTTGCAAAAACTGGCCACCTTGCATACCAAGTGTCTATTGACAGGAAAGGTACCAAGAATGTCAACATCATCCTAATCCTAGTATTAATCGGAGTCCACTGTTTAAAGAAAACCGTGCGCCACACAAGATTACATTGGATCAATGAAACATACTTCTTGTTTTGTTAGCAGCAATGGTGGGAAACCTGCGCTAATTGGAAATTATTGCACCATTTTTCTCCAAAAGGGTCTTTTTTGACTAATTTGCACCATTGCTGCGCCACAAGTTGGTTTTGGAACCAAAAGTGATGTTGACAGCACGAATCGTGAGCGGATATTACGCGGTCGATATCTTGTACGCTTGCGCTGTTGCAAAAAGCACGGAATCGGCCGATGAATTATTCAGGCTTCCGTGCGATCGGGACAGTCCCTTTTCTGACAACCATTTGCAAAGAACGAAGGCGATGTGGTGACCACTGAAAAGCACTCCAGTATGACTTACTGCTGACAAAAAGCCTACATGTGTGGTGTGACACCGTTTGCCTACTGTGACTACCTGAAAGCTCTGAGGGGCCGATCAATGCCGCCTCAATTGTTGTGCGGCACCATGTTCAGCATGCATTGCTTTGCAGAAACGAAAGCAGTTCGCTGTTGTGGAGTTCGGCGTTCTGGATCGGGGGCACCGAGACAGCGAGCGCAGCACATGTTCTAATGAAGGGATAGTTGAAACGAGTCTTCATTTGCTGCAAGGCCTGCTGGAGCATCGCTTGCAGAAAGTTCGCATTATCGCTTTAACGCAATAGGCTTATTGCCGCATTTGTACACAGTCTGAAGCGGAGTGGGCGCAAGCTGCTTGGCATGGTGTGTACGCCAAATAGGCGAAGCACTGCGCGCAACTAGCCAGTAAACTATCGGCTCCCCGTGAACATTCTGCGTCTCAAAAGAACTGTCAGTTTTCGTTAGGTAGCAGATCGCAGTACACATTTATCGCAGAGAGCCGATTATGTCCGTTTTGTCACTATGTCAGTCGCTGCTTTGGCTTCGTATCCCGGACTCCACAGAAGTTTTGAAATGCTCCTTGATGTCGCCACCGCATGTCATTGGATAATCGCGCGAGAACGCCAGTTTTTTCTGAACATAGTCAAAAAGAAAAAAAATGACTTCGTGGTGGGCACTTAAGGCAGTATTTGCTGGGGCACTGTATTTATTTATTCTTTCTTTAGCAATGATGGTGCACGGAAAGAAATGCAAATTGGCGTGCTCACGGGGGGGGGGGGGGGGGGGGGGGGAGAGTACAAAGCCAATCCCATACATTGACATAATAGGGAGGGGGGCATAAAGTCAGCCCCATACAGTGACATCATAGGAGCGGGTGCTGCGATGAACCCCTTTCACCCCCCTGCCTTGAAGGGGAATACTGCGCACGTGTATGCACTTGGTTTATGTGCACTACGTTTAGTGCAGTGTTAGCTGCATTCCTGGCAAGTTTTTGAAGATGATAGTCTTTCTTGGGGACCTTCGACGTAAAAACTTTGGTCTGTCTGTCTGTCAGTCTGTACATTTATCTGTTTGGATCGTTACCGCGAACCGGACACTTTAAACACCACCAGCCGGTACCCCGAACGGCCAACCCCATCCGCTGCGCCCACCAATGTTGCTCAAGGATTAGCGTTCATACGTATGCGATTGTCAATTGAAAAGCAATAATTGCGCATATATGAGGCATCATAACAACACATATATATTCTGCATGTTTGTCTTTTACTAGAAAAGGCATACATAAGTAATTCTGAGGACCGTGGCGCTTGTCATGCTGCGCTGACCATGCAACGCTTGCTCGAAGAAGCGAGCGTTTCCAACGCTTTGCTAAGACGACACTGTGGTGGCACCTACCCGTCGCCTTGAGCTCTACACCTTATCACCTCTGAGACTGGTGCGCACGCCCGTCTCAGGGCCATGCGCTTTGTTTTCTATAAACTGCCAGATGGCGCTCATGTCTCACGTGTGACGTGACTTGATGCGCTCGTTCGCCCCCTCTGCACGCTCGAGGCACTCTAACGCAGCGCCTCCGGAACACCTATCACCGGTTTTCTTGCGCAGAACATCAAAAAAATGTTTTGTTCACTCTCTCCACACGCAAGACTATGGTCTTTCGACGACATTTGCAGATTAAATGCAGATGTGGGGCCAATTTTTTACATGTATATAAGTATTAACGAGGTCTTACTGTAACGAGCTTTGGATGTGTTTGTGCGTACATGTGCTTGCTGCTATGAACTTCAAGCTGCAGCTAGCTTGTTGCTGCAATATCTTCCACTGTCTGATGTCACCGCTTCTGTACATAATCCTACTTTTGTTTATTTTTGTGCTTATTTTGTGGGCTTGCTACTTGTGTATAAATGATTATGTAATCTGAGGGAACAATAAAATAGATTAAGGCTAAATTTTCTGTCTCTGTGTGCGTCATGGAAAGCTTGTATGTGTGCTCCAAACACAGAGGTAGCTATTTTACAAGCAGAGTTTACCTGCTCCAGTGGCTGCTCCAAATACAGCAAGGCATTCCCACCACTGCAAGAGTCTTCGCAGAAAAACAGTGCTTTGCGATAAGTGGCGAGACACTGGAAGTTTTAAAGAGATATGTCTCCCTAGGACAGATAGTAACCGTGGTGCCGATCATGAGAGTGAAGTAACTGAAAAAATAAGGATAGGTAGGGGCGCATTTGGCAAGCATTCTCAAATCATGAATGGTAATCTACCACTAACCCTCAAGAGGAAAGTATAGAACAGCAGCATCTTGCCAGTGGTTATCTGCGAAGCAGAAACCTAGAGGCTTACAAAGAGGGTCCAGCTTGAATTGAGAGCGACTCAGCGAGCGATGCAAAGGAAAATGATAAGAGTAACCTTAAGAGACAAGAAGAGGGCTCAGTGGGTTGGGTAACAAATAACGGTTGAAGGGCCTCTTTTCGAGCATGGTCAGAAAACGCTGCCGATTGGTAGTAGAGGCTCCCAACAACACGCGAACGAAATGATTTAGCGCAGCACACGGCCTGGAGTTCACAATAAATTAGCAAGGTCAGCTAAATATTGCTTTCTCTTCTCTCGACAAATCACCGAAGATGCTTAAGAGTATCTCGTAAAAAGCCCATCTATCAGCCATTGGCTAGTTTAAACAAGGCGCGATCGGTCGTTACCGAGATGGTTGCGGGAGGCCGCAACTTGTTCACGCGTGCACTCGATCACATTGGAAAAGCTGCACATTTGCAAAAAAGAAAAAGCAGAAAATTATGCTCAAGGTCACGAGGCGCGCGTGATGTTTTTCATTGCCCCTTGCCATCCCTCTCTGTTTTACTTTGAGCGCTTTCGTCAGACTGTGAGAAGAGAGAAGGCAATTGCAGCATGCGACAAATCTTTATAACTCCGCTCGATTTGGACGAATTCTTAACATTTTTGCGGCGCTGAATTCCTGAGGTAATAAACTCATCCAGTGAATGCATTCCATGGTTACTTGAAAAAGTGTTTCAAAGCCCCTTTAAGAATATTATAATTGAAATGAATAACGATGACACGAGGTTGCAGGTTAAGAACATGACGTTTACTCCGTCAGGGTTGGCTCCCCATTCCTTACTTCGTTATTTTCTTCCTTTACCTCTGTTGCGCCTCCCCCCAAGCCCGTGCATCTCTTCTTTATTTTCAAAAGAAGGAGAAACGAACATGGGTCAGGCATGTAGCGTGTAGGCAGGATAACCGCTGGTCATTAAGGGTAGTCGACAGAATTCCAGAGAAGGCGTGATAGGGAGACAGAAAATTTGATGGACAGATGAAATTGCAGGTAGAAAGCACAGTACTATGCAGGCAAACTTCACACTAAAATATAAAAGGACACCTCGGAAAAGGAACACTAAACACATAAAGTGCATCTATGTGGTGTCTATTTTAGCGCAATTTTTCCTGCATAGAATGAAGCAACTAGCCCATCAGGACATCAGAAAGTGCAGGACTGGGTAGATTGGCTGAACATGGAGAGAGGTCTTTGTCCTGCAGTGGGTGAGTAATGATTGTTTTATATGGGAGCATAACCTGCTGGCTCCGTGTGGAAAGTATAAAACCCTGGGCTGTTTGGTGAATGAATGCCAAACTGGAACTTGTGCATGTTGCGTGTTTCAGTGGACCGAGCGGACACAGTGACTGTGGATGGGCTGGAACCAAAGCACAAATACTGGTTCCGCTTTGCGGCCCACAGTGCAGTTGGCACGGGCCCCTACTCTGAGAGCCTGTCTCGAGAGACGCCGCCAGAGATGGCACCCGGCCCGCCAATTGTACTGAGGAGCAACGAGAACAGCATGTACCCCAACAAGTACGAGATCCGGTGGGCCATGCCACGTGACAATGGCCGCCCCGTTCGTCATTTCCGCGTCACCTACTTCAAGGTACATCCTCTGAAACGGTCTTTTCAAGTTTTGTTAACGCTACAGCACCATCAAATAATTCGTACCACAAGATTATCGACCCACCGGGTAGCAAGGCCACTATGGACAATGACTATTTACTCGTGTAGGGAACTCACTCACATAATGAACCCAACCACTCACATAATGAACCCATGCCCCACCTTGGTCCTTGAAAAAAAAAAAAAAAAAAATTATTGCATCTGTTCATTTTATTTCGGTCTAATAGCCTGTGCTGTTGAAGAGTCAAACAACGTTGATCACACCATCATATTGCATTACGTTGACATTAAGGAATACCCTGGTCCCGACAGCATTTCGAATGACTTTTTATATAGATGTGCTCAATGGGTCGCAAAGTATCTTACTATAATTTTTCAATCTTCAATCAACCAGGCCTCATTTCCTTTAGCCTCGAAACAAACTAAAATAATTCCAGTTCACAAAAATGAAACATTTCAGAAGTGGGTATCTATCTTCCGAATCCATCTTCCGAGTACCTGCTTCAAACTGCTTGAGCATGGAATGTGCAAGCATCTCTCTAATTATTTAGACAATCACAATTTCTTATCACCAGTGCAAGACTGTTTTTGTAGGGGTTTATCTACAGTGAAGCAGCTTGTCGATACAGTTCACGATCTTGTGCAAGCAATTAATCGCCGGCAACAGATTGATCTAATACAGTCGACTCCTCTTAAGGGGGAGCACGAGTCTTGGAGACCGAAAAGACGCGAAAAAATTATTTTTTTGGAAATATTTTTTTTTTTGGATTGTGCAGTGACTGATGCATAATTTGGCAAATTTTCACACGTCTTGGATTGATATTTTAGCGGCAGTAGCGTTTATAAACATGCGTGTGATGAAGATGTTTCTCGGTGGCCGCGCAAAAAAGGGCGTTTTTCCGAAACGCGCAGCTGCCCTTTTACGTCTCTGTTTGCGGCCATCTTGGCCGCGTTCAAAAGAGCCGCATTTTGTTTTCACTTTTCGCGCCACTGTTACTGCATACGTCTAGTGGCCACTCAGAAAAATCCAGCAAAAAGTTAGACCTGATGCGCGGTCCTAGTGCACGTGACAGCGCGCACGCCATTGGCGCATTCATGCAGTCGTCTGCTTGGGCTGCGGCTGTGCGCATCGAACAACGCGGCTGCAACGTGCAACCATGCCGAAGTCTACGCTGAAGTTGGCTACAAAGTACCAATTCGGTGGACGTACAAAGAAACGGAAGGTGTACAACTTTCAAACAAAGCGTCGACTATCTTCAGAAGATGTCGACTCTCCTCCCGTGCCGAGTGGCCACAAAGAAGCTGCCGACAACACGGAGTGCGGGTTAGGCCTAGCGTGTCAAAGCGGCCCTGACAGCAACAATGTTCGTTGGACGTTTCGACGCGACACCATTACCGTAATTACTCGAATCTAACGCGCAACTTTTTTCTGGTTAAGCGAGCTCATAAATCGCATGCGTGTTAGAATCGAGTACGAACAAAAAAATTACGGTCAATCTATTGCCATCGGCAAATCCAAAATGGCCGCCCCCTACGTGCGTCGGCATGTCGCGTCGGCCATTTCTGCCTATGTGTTTCCCATGTGCCGCACTTCGTACGTGTGCTGAGGAGTTCGTCATCTAGTAGTGCATTAGAATCGACGGCGTGGAAGGGCCGACTCCCAAAACTCGATTGCACCACGATGCCGCTTTTAAAAGAAAAGTCATCGCGTGTGCAGAAACGGACGGAAATCGGGCCGCATCGCAGTCGTTCGAAGTTCCCGAAACGTGCGTGCGGGACCGGCGGAAACAAAAGCAGAAGATTGTCGACAGCAAAACTTCACGCAAAGGCTTCTGTGGACCACAGCAGGGTCGGTTTCCGCAAATTAAAGAGCTGCTTGGCGAGTATGTGCTTGAGCAGCGAGCCGCACAGCGGCCCGTGACGACAGAACTGCTCCAAGTGCGGGCTATGCAATGAGCCTTAGAAAAAGGTCTAATGCGGAGCCAGTTTAAAGCGAGCAGGTGCTGGCTTAGTAACTTTATGAAGAGGAAAGGCTTTTTCCTCCGAAGGGGAACATGCATATGCGAAAAGTTTTGCGGAGGAGTACGATGAAAAGCTTCACAGTTTCCAGAGGTTCGTCCTAAACTTGCGGCGCAACAACGGCTACCTGCTAGGGCAAATCGGGAATGCCGATCAGACGCCTCTTTACTTCGACATGCCTGGCACCACAACCGTCGAGAAGAAGGGCGTGAAGCAAGTTCGCGTGCTGACATCGGTCCACGGTAAAACTACAGTGACGGCAATGCTCTGTTAGACGTCAGATGGGCACAAGCTTCGCCCATACCTATTTAAATGGAAGACGCTCCCGAAAGAGTCGTTTTTTCGAGTGGTGTGATCGTGCGGGCCAGCGAGAGGAATGGGTGCGCGTTGCAATTGATGTCTTACGTTTTTTTTTTTTTTTTTCGCGGTGGAAATCGGGTGCGCGTTACAATCGAGGGCGCGGTAGAATCGAGTAAATACGGTATATTGAAGCCAGCTGAATTATTGATGAATAAAAAGAATGCCGAAGAAAAACTACAGAACTTTGCATGAACGCCAGCTACCAAGCGAAAATCAGATCTGCTCGCTTGTGCAAACGACACTGCCACCACAGATGACGCTGCGGCTGGCTCACAAGTGATGGATACGCGCTTCGCTTTGGTGAGCCTCGACACTCTAAACGCTATGCAGTCGAACGTGAAGTGCAAAAGGTGCCGCGACGATATTTGAGTTTGCCTAGGTGAGCGAGAATACGGCCTAGCCATAAAGATTGTTACGTCGTGCGAGATTTGCCGTGATATTGTGCCCGTGTGGAGTTCGCCGGGCGTGAACGATGGAAAATTGTGCAACCCCTTCGTTGTGAACATTCTTGCCGCGCGTGCTATGAAAAGCACTGGCAATCAGCAAACTGCCTTGAACGACATTTTCGTGACAATGAAGGTGTCTTCCCGCGGCATGCATACCAAAACATGGCAGGCACATCTGAAGTCGAAGATGACACCCGCCACCACTGCAGCTGCTGATAAATGCATATCAGAAAGTGCGCTCGCTGTTTGTAATCTTTATAGCGAACTGAAGCTCGGTGACCCAGGAAACATTGCCGTTTCCTACGATGGTTCATGGATGATGCGCGGACACTCATCCCATATCTGTGTTAGCGCTGTTACAGAACTTTTCACGGGTTAAGTGCTTGACTATGTGGTTATAAGTAATTTTTGCGCAGCGTGTGAACTGGGACCGAAAGAAGGCGATCCAGATTACCAGTTGTGGAAAGCGTCATATATGCCAAAAAAACTCCAGCAAAAACTCTGGTGAACATGGAAGTGGAATATGGATTGATGCTTTTTCAGAGATCACTGGAAAAACACCATCTCAGGTACACCACAATACTTTCAGACGGTGACAGCCGCACTTTTCTTGCACTGCAGGAAGCCGAAGTGTATGGCTATATACCAATCAACAAGGAAGACTGTGTCAACCACGTTGAAAAGAGAATGGGCCTTGCATTGCAAAACCTCATTGCTAAGCAAAAGGGGGCTGGAACTGAGAGCCTTGGTGGCCGGGGAAAACTGACTGGCGACCTGATTACCAAGCTCACTTCCTACTATGGCTGGGCATTCAAGAGCAATAAAGGTGACGTAAAGGCCATGCAAAGAGCTGCCATGGCAACCTATCGCCATGTCACCTCTAATGACGAACTTTCTGACCACAGTTTGTCCCCAAAAGGCAGATTTTTGGTGCCGCCAAAATGCAGCCACAGCAAAAGGCAAGCCCATCCCCAAGCATCGCTACAACTTGCCACCTCATGTCTGCAAGGCCCTTTTGCCCATCTACGAACGCTTGTCCGATGAGAGGCTTCTTGAATGGTGCCAGCGGTGGAAAACGTAGAACAGCAACCAGAGCCTCCATTCCATTGTTTGGGCACACTCAGCGAAAGAGAGCCATGCGTCACTGTTTTCTGTCCAAGCTGTTGTGGCTGAAGCTGTGTTGAAATTTAGTGCTGGAAATGAAGCAGCCTCAGCAGCAATCCTGTAGGAGCTGCTTGTCAATCCTGGACTCTCAGCAAAAAAATTCATGGCAGAAAAAGACCGCCACAGATTGACCGCACCTGCTCGCAAGTGTGCCTCTGCGAAAAACACGCAGCGGACATTGAAAAAACGTCATTTAGGTGACGCAAAACAGAAAGACTATATGCCTGGTGCATACTGAGAAAGTTGAATTTGAAAATCATTGTAAATGAACAGCTTTTGCGTGCTACTGTCTGCTCAAAATCGACCTGTTTTGTTTTTGCATGATTTCTCAGGATTCAAATTTTGCTGCAGTTGCAAACTTGTTCAAAAGATATTTCTTTCTCCAGAGCAGCTAGGACTGTCATTTTTGTTGTGACATGTAGCTGTATCCTTTGTTTACACAATGGTAGGAGTGAATTTTTTATTGAGATCTTCAAAAATTTTATTGCTTATCCGAAATCGAAGCATAAAGTGGGTGTGTCTGCAACACTGAAATGCAAAGTGTGACAAACCTTGTTAAAATTTTTAATGAAAAAAAAGCGCTCCTATCATTGTGTGGCTTATGTTCATTAGTATACAGGAATATGCCAATAGTAGCTCTGCAATAAAATTTATTGTGTCATTATACTGGCAAACAATAAGTAATTAATTTTAGGATATCTCACAAACTAATTGGTTTAGAGGAAAAGAAATTACATTTTTGAAAGCGGCATCAAAAACTCAATCACACTGCGAATTTTCTTTTTAAACACATGAAAATATCTGGCGCTTCCTCTCAAGTACCGTGTGTTCCCACTTAAACGGAACTCGAAAGGGATCCATAAAACTGTTCAATTTATCAGAAGTTTTATTTAAGCAAAGTGCACTTTTTAGTGAACCAAGGCCTTTATTCAAATTGCACAAACCTCGCCTTACTCATGAGGATGAGCATGAAAAAAAAAAAGAAGTGAAG